GACCCATACCCGACTGAATCAACGATGCTTGGCTCAGAATGGAATTCCAGCTGCGCCAGTGATTTGGCCACCAGAGCGGGAAGGAAGAATGCCACTTCCCAGCTAAAACGGGCACGCCAGGCAGTGTGAAGAACTGCCACCTCGTCCCTGGGTCCCGGCTCTCATCAAGTGAGAGGAAAGATCGCCTTCTTCCCGGTTTGAACATCTCTGCCCGAGGGGAGTGGCACGGAGTTTTGCGGATGCCGGGATGGTCGCTCCGGCTGAAAAACCGCATTGGATCATTCCCCGCATTGGAGCCTTCCGCCGCCTCTTCCCATGGGCAGACATTCTTACCAAAAGGAAGCCATGTGACCATGTGCCAACTTCTGGGGGCGGGGCGCGGAACTCAATACGGATGCGGCCAGATCCACCCCTGCCTCAGCCCCTGCCAAGCCAATCCCCTAGAGCCCAGGCTCTATGGCAGCTTTCCCCAGCTCCATAAACTTCATGGCACCAACGAGCTTTGCGCTGGCCATGAGCTGCTTGTACCTTGGTGAAAGGACTCCCCTCCCTTTCAACGAGCTCAAAGCACTGCTCCAACCAATTCTGCCTTGGTTCACCCAAACAAGGCGAGAAGAGCATCTGCTGCACCTGAAATCACACTTGCTTCGCCTTGAAGGGGAAGTTGGCCTGCTATCAACCATGGCATCAACTGGGGCTGTGCCAGTACCAACTCTGGACAAACCTCCAGCAACCACCAGAGGTCCAGCAAAATATTTGACCTGCGTTCAAATGGAGGACTTTGATGCAAGGTGAGAGGGCGGCCTCGTGGTTCCCCCCCATCAAATGCAGTCAATGTCATCTTAGACGTGTATGTGTATATATATATATATATGTTGTATATATATATATATATATGTACTATATATATATGTATATATTAAATAAATAAATAAATATATATATATATATCACATATGCACGTGACGTTGCCTCAGCCAAACCGTAGTGGAAAAGCCGGCGTGTTGTAATCCCTGAGTCAAGAGGCTGATCCAGCGACAAGCCCGCAGCTTCAGCAGGCTGCGCCCGCATGGAATCGCGAATGCCTTTGAAACGCAACAAGCACGGGAGAGGAGGAGGAGGGAGAGGGAGAGGGAGAGGGAGAGACAGAGAGACAGAGAGACAGAGAGAGAGAGAGAGAGGGAGAGAGAGACAGAGACGGAGAGACAGAGAGACAAAGAGACAGAGAGACAGAGAGACAGAGAGACAGAGAGACAGAGAGACAGAGAGACAGGGAGACAGAGAGACAGAGAGACAGAGAGACAGAGAGACAGAGAGACAGAGAGACAGAGAGACAGAGAGACAAAGAGACAAAGAGACAGAGAGACAGAGAGACAGAGAGACAGAGAGACAAAGAGACAGAGAGACAGAGAGACAGAGAGACAGAGAGACAAAGAGACAAAGAGACAGAGAGACAGAGAGACAAAGAGACAGAGAGACAGAGAGACAGAGAGAGGCGAGAGAGAGCGAGAGATAGGGAGTGAGAGAGAGAGAGGGGGAGAGAGGGAGAGGGAGAGGGAGGGGGAGGGGGAGGGGGAGGGGGAGGGGGCGAGGGGAGGGAGAGGGAGAGGGAGGGGGAGAGGGAGAGGAAAAGGGAAGTGAATGTCAGAAAACCCGCTTCTTCATCTTGAAATGAACAAGTCTGCCAGCTAGCAACTTGGTCTGCATGAGACCCATTCGCCCAATTAATTACAGCGCAAGCACTGTACAAGAAATCATTGGGAAGTTGAGGGGCTGAGCTTGCCACATCAAGCGGGTTGCAAGTGCATTGACTGCCAAGAAATTCAGCCCCCCTTCATGTTGTTCGTCCAACTTCTCAGCAAACCTGTGCGATCAAGCGAGCATGTTTGACCATCAGGGAAGTGCCCGCTAAGCAATCCAGGGGCTCAAGTTCTTAGCCTTCTCGCCTAGGCCTCCACCAACCGATTTCTAAAAAAAGCGCTCGCAGCGTAATGTCATTGCCCACGTCGTTGGGCAAAGCAACCAGTTCATGGATCACTCGGTTGCTTTCTGCTCCCCTGCTAAAAGCTTTAACTTCTAGTGGTTTAATGGAAAAAACTCATTGGTTGGCAAAAAGTTAAAGTCCTAACATCCAAGCAAAGTGCACCAAAGATCAGCTGGCAACGAGCGCGTCAGCTGGTTTGTCACCACCTCGATGGAATTCTGTCTCCAGAATTGGGACGGGACCAATGTGCTGAACTCCGCCCCCACCCCAACCACACCACACCACACACAAACAGACACATATACCATGGCAGCATGCTCACATGTGCAAGGTGAGCAAGAAGAACTTTTCCCTTCCAGCTGCTCTTGTGGAGCACCAAGGCCAAACAAACACCTCCTAGAGTCTAACATCTCATTCCCCTCGAAGCATCCGAAGGCCCAAGGTCTGCCACAGCTTCAAACCGCGCTCCTGGTTCTGCAACCCCGGCAAAAGACGCGAAAACCACCATTTGGGGGGGGGGGGGACACATGGGTTGTTTCTGGGATGCCACACAAACGATTTCCTGTACAAGCTGGAACCCCTTTGGTAGAAACCGTTTAAACGGGTCCCCCGACTATGATGCTGGGCTCAACCTCCCTCGCACGTGGGAAAGGATTGCACACCCTCTCCTTGGGATATGAGCACCACTGGCGAGAACAGGAAATTGATGCCAATCTTATTTCCGGAGTTGCAGAGGGTACCCTTTTGGTTGGTTCAAAGGGGAACCAAAAGGAAAATCATCATTTTGAGTCACAATCAAAACCCGGTATTAGAATGGTTGACCCAGAACCATGTAAGGAAATACCAAGGCGGCCGCAACTTGTGGCCCATGGCTGGCATATGCCAAGAAGCCCTGGCCAGCCCTTTCTTACCCTAAGGCCAGCGGCTGGCCGTCCTCGACACGGAGCCGCCGTCCTCAGGATCCAGCAGATGGGCTGCTTTTTCATGAGCACTGGCACCTTTTCTTGGCGCGACAAGCAGGGAATGAGACATGGAATGTCCCCAAACCATGCCACCGGTGGTTTCCTTTAAGGCGACCAACTCCAAACGCTGCATTCCCACATCTACTGAGCACCAGCAAGTTGTTTCCCAAGTGCAAGCCTAGTTGCCTCAGAATTTTGGTTCGAACTGACGACACATGTCTAGTTTATGGTCCATGCTCAGATTGAACTTGAGATGCAAAACCAGGCTTTTCAGCGGTCCAGAAATTTGGGTCTGCGACGCCACATGGTTCCGGTCCTGCTGAGACTCTGCAAAAGTGGGCATCCCTTCTGAGACAGGCCAAGTTCGTTAAATGGGCTTGCCTCAAGATTGGGGGGGTAACGGTGTTCTTTTTTTTACTGATTTTCCGCAGGCCGTCTGTTGGCTCTCATTGGGTGGCAGTTGGGAGTTGCTGGGGGCTGGTTTAAGTTGATTTTGGCTGGCTTAGATCTTCATGAGGGTGGGTCTTGGGGTGGTTTGGGGTTGATTTAGGCGAAGCGAAGAGCTGACATCCCGGCTGCTGTTGGGCGGGGTTGGGGTTGACTTTGGTGGGTGTGGGTTGGTTTGGAGCTGATTTGTGTTAGGTGTGCTGCTGGTTTAGAAGCGGCTTTAGGGTTGCTTTAGGGTGCGGTTAAGTGAGTCTTGGTCTCGTTTCGGATCGGTGTTGGGTGCCGGGGATGCGGCCAGCCAACCAACCAACCAACCAACCAACCAAGCAACCAGGGAGCCAGCCCTATTTTTTGTTTGTTTGTTTGTTGTTTTTAAAGAGAGAAACAGCCCTAGGAAAAAAAAAAAAAAAAAAACGGATCCAAGATCGCTGTCCCAGACAAAAAGGTTTCTTTCCGTCGCCGCACATTCCCCTTTTGGCACTCAAATAGCCATGGGTCAAAACCAATGGGATCCCATTTTGGTTAGTAGGTGAATTCACCACCCATTTTAGAACCTTTTTTTAGGTGTGATTGGGATGTTCACTGGGGGCTAACCGGGGGTTTGACCCATGGCCAAATGGGTAAAAAAAACATCGCGCAGAGATGTTCGCCGAAGAGCACCAGAGGGAGACCGGTCGCGGGCAGAGGCCAGAGGCAGGGCCATGTACCCACCTGGCGCACGCAGAGCGCTCTACCCTTCCGCCGCAAGAACCTGAAAGATCAATTTGCTCCTGAAGGGACGCCAGGTTAGTAAGAGGGAGGGTAACATGTTGCTCCAAAAACAACGGCTTAAATTGGTTTGAATGCATACTGCACAAACCCAGACTAATTCTTTAGGCATCTATAATTGTAGTATGCGATTCCTTTGCGCCTGAGTTGTTTTCCTCTCGGCGTGGGTATTTCATCCAATGGAAATATGGGTTCTTTCCTTGTTCCGCTGCGTTCAAAGCGAAATTGTAGACAAAGCAAGCAATTTGTGAGGGGTCCTCATTCCATGAGGTCGCATGTCTTTCGGGAACAGCTACGTTGACGTGAAGCAACAAAATGCCCCTCGAGCGTGTCAACCGATGTGGGGAGTCTGATCACTTCGGAGTGCCAGCCCACGCTTTGACAAAGGTGATCGCTGAACGGGCAGTGAAAACACGTCGTCATGGAGACGCATCCCTCCGCAGCAAAACCCATCAAGCCAAAGCAGAGAATGAGAAGAGAAAGTGCCGGCTCAGGAAAAAAGGGAGAAAAAAAATAAAAGAAAAAAAAGAAAAGAAAAAAAAAAGGAGAAAAAAAAGATACCCTCAAAAGCCGCGGCGAAAGCAAAAAAAAGATCGGGGACTTGCGGCCCGGCAGTCCGAGACATCAGCCGCCATTCAGAGCCCACGCCCGCCGAAGCCGCCGGCCGCCCGCGGCCTGCGCTAACGCCCTTCTCCGGTTCGGGTCTCATGGCCTCAGTCCGCATGGCCCGCCGCAAGGTCCGATGCATCAACCAATTCTCAGTTGTTCAGTGACCCTGGGAAAAAAAGAATTGGAGCCCTTCTTGGGGAAGATCATGTTTAGTGGGGCAGCCACCAAACAAAAAAGGGAACAAGAATCGGTGCCACTGAACTGAGAATTGGTGGCCCCGCGAAAAGGATCCTGAGCAAAAGCCCAGCGCATCCGAGCGCAAAAAAAAACACGCCAAAAAAAAGATGCCGCCGTGAGATTTGAGATTTTTTCCTGCGTAAGCATGGTGAAACACATAGTCACATAGAGCAGCTCGGCCAAATGCCAACCTCGAAACATGCTCTGCCTCGCTGAAATACGGTCGTCTCAGCACGACGAGGGGCGTGTAGCTCTCTAGCAAGAAGCAAATGACCTAAACCCTCAACCCTCAACCCTCAACCCTCAAGCACTCCTGCCATTTGCTGAAGACCCCTTGAAAAAAATATATGTCCAGTAGTGAAATCCATTCCCTTGAAAACCAACAGGGGCAAATAAGAGTATCCTTCAGCAAAAAAACACCGAGGCCACCGCGAAGCCGAGGGAGTCGGTCCCTCGGCGCACGTCCTCCAAAAACGTTGCGGGCGGGGGCGGCCGGCTCCAAGGTGGAAGCCAAAACTGGGCCACTGGTCTAAGGGTTTTTGTACTGGGAATACACCCGGGGATTGACCCCATTTAGGCGCATCTCCGGATAACGCCGTGCTATTTTGAGCCATTCTGGGTCATTTCCCAAGGGTGTAGTCCCAGGGTGTAATACAAAACCCTCGGAACTTGGTCAACGTTCGGCGGCGTTGTCAAACCAACGCCGCAACGCAATGGGCCGCAAGAAAAGCACCACGGCCGAACCCTGCAACGAGAGGTTGGCCGACCTTCTTGGGCGTGTGAATTGGAAAGTTCAGTTTTGTTTGCCAATTCACGCAGGAAGTGAGTTTCCCGTTAAGCAGAGGTTTGATTTAACAATGCTTGTTGTTTCCCTTTGTAGTGCAATTGCTATTCGATGAAGCTTCTGCTTCAACGCCTGATTTGGTCTCAACCATGAATCCCTTCAGTGTGAACCAACCCGAAGACCGCGTCCTGGACGGAAGGCCTGGGCACACGGGAGGCAGGAGATCGGGGAGAGCCCGCTGCGAGGAGCGACAAGGTGTCCCCTGCCAGAGCTGTTGAACTCATGACCCTATTGGCCAGTGTAGCAGGTGCTTCTACTTGCCATGTATAAACAAACCTTTATAACCATGGTTAGCATGGTTTGTATAACAATACTGCACGTCGTGCCGTGCGGCCACGTAGTTGGTGTTGCTGGTTTTCAGCTTGTAGTCCAGGCTCTGCATCAACTCATCTTTTTTTGCCCCTTAGCAGCGATCCGCGTCGAGCGCACGTCTGCATTAAGCAACTCCGTGTGAAAAGGATGAAACAACAGCAAATCAGATCAGGTGAGGGCATAGCGAGAGGTGCGTGTGCCTCAAAAAGTGCCCAGGCTCGAACATCACCACAAGAGAGAAACACCAAACCCGACAAGCAAGCAACAAGGCAAACGGAAACACCGGCAAGACGAGCCACAAAGTGAAACCTGTACAAATCATGCAACTAGATGGAAGAACCGCAAGCCGCAAATTATGAAAACGTAGAGTCATCGCGTAGCCGAAATTCGAAAGGACAGTGCATCCCAAAAGAGCAGTACACGTTGCCGTACCAGGCTCTGCATCAACTCATCCTGTGCTCCGGCTGTGACTACCTCCATGCTTCTTTACATGAAGCGCAATACGCATTTTCACTCGTATGGCGAAGGAGAGTCTAGGCCGCCTCGATGTCCCGGGCCAGCTGGTCTGCAGAAATAACTGCCGCCACGTGGGACAAAAACAAGCTCCAGGAAGTGCGGAAGAGCTGTAAGAGCTATATGTCATTCCGCTCATGCAAAAACCGTTGCCTAGATCGGCAAGGCATCACGGGCCTCTGACACTAAGGCAAAGTGAGCAAAAAACAATCGCTAGCCCAAGGACAACATGTCCTCAGCGACTGAAGAAAGCTGCGACAGGAGATCCCTTAAAATGAAACCCAGCGGGCCCAACAGCGTGTTGGAAATTGTTGCGCCTACTTGAACAAGGCATCGCCAGGGCCTTAGACATGTCCCAACATACATTCAATGAGTGTGTGAGTGTGTGTGCTATCGTCAGCGTCATGTGTCATGCATCGAAAATGCAAACCATGATTTGGGAGGCTGACTTGCACCTTCATCCAGGGGTGCTTGTACATATCCCTTCTTCCTACCGCTTGGGTGAACCCAAAAGGCCTGCTGATGTTCATTCCCTGATAAAGCGGGTTGGAACCAGGGAAGCCAAGAGGTATGAACAAGGGGTATGTACTTCCACCCTTAGACTTCAATAACTATGTACCACACCTGGCACTTCGATGGGCCGGCCTCCACTTCTTGCATTGGAGCCACATGGATATGCTTGAACCACCGATGGGTTCCATGCCCTTTTGCTTCTTTTCTATCCGGAGGAAAGGCGCCGTGCCCCTTCTGGAAAGTCGGGGACGTGCTTCAAATCGATCTAAAGGGATCCCCAACAGCCCTGAAACCCTCCGCAACCCTCCCTGAATGCTGCCCCACGCCACCCGGAGCCTATCTGGGCAGAGACCCTGTAGCTTTCAGCTGTTGGGGAAGAAAGGGTGCCCTCCCAAAAAAGACGCGCCCGAGTGAGTTCATCGCTTCCTTGCGACCAAAGAAAGGTTCAAACACCGAAACCCACCGGTCGAGGAGTCGAGGACCCCGGCGTTGACTCCTCTCTCTCCGGCCAACACCTTGGAGAGGGAGCAAAGGAACCACATGTTTCCCTTCTTGGCGAAAATGCGGGCGGTGCACATCCACAATTTGACTCTTGGAACGTGCTTGTCCGCCTTTGCAGATTCCATACTTGGGCAATCCAGGATCTGCTTTCACATCCTGGAGTGCCAATTGAGGATTGAAGGTTCTTTGACAATAGCCGCAAGCAGTCAAAGCTCCCCCGCAAGAAAGAAGTGTGTCAGTTTTCCTGTTGGTTTCCCTTTAAAGCCACCGAAAGATGGGACCAAAGTGAACAGGGTGGTTGGGATTCGATCAACTCAATTGAGCAATCAACCTCGGGACTTTTGGTTTGCACATTGGGCTGTCCAACATCGCGGGCCTGTTAGGGCCAGATTTGTTGACCCTACATGAAGGCTAAGGCTTTACCCCAATCAAACTTGGTACCAGATACCATGGCCAATAGGAAGGAGGTTTTGGTGCTCGATTGGGTGTCCTTGCCTTGTTTTGGAGCATCAAAAAGGGAGAGCTACTCATTCAGCAATTGCTGCAGCGCAGTGCTGGCTGAGACTCTAAAAGCTCAGCGCAGTCACAGTCAGCAATGACCAGGAACCATGTGGTTGCTTTCCGACTAACCATCTTGACAGCCTGGCTTTGGCCTAGGAGTGTTTTAACGGATGTTGAAAGCAAACTCTTGATCTTGAGACAAGCCCACATCGGCCCATCGGTGACCCTCACAAACTGGGCCGCTCTAAATCAACAGTGTGAAGGACAAAACACGGGAGTTCCACACCCGCGGTCCTCATTCACGAGAAAGTATTCTCAAAGCGGGCCACCCTTTTCCAGTCAGAAACCAGTCCACTGATCCGTATGGATCAGGTCAAACTTATCCTGCTTGTCTTCTCAATGCTGGGGGTAATTGGGACTCTTTAGCTCGTTCGCTCCTTGGCTTTCTTCCAATGTGGCCGTGTGTCAAAAGCGTGAACCCCCAGCAAACATCCCAGTCCCCACTAAAGTAGACTAAAATGGGTGGTGCACCTACCCCAAAATGGTACCATTGGTTTTGACCCACAGCCATGTGTGTGGCTAGCTGTATCTTTGTCGCCTACCTGCGCAGCTTTCTCGCTCTCTCTCTCTCGCTCTCTCAGTCTCGCCCTGCCTATTCCAACCAGCCAACAGGCGGATCAAGCGTGCTAAGAGCACTGCGACACAAAAACAAAGGACATGAAGCATCCGTAGAACGAAAAGTGTTTCTCTCAAGGGCTACAAAATCGCGAGGACATCCCAAATATATCGCCAACGAGGCCGTTTCTCCCCTCCCTTCCTTCCTTTTGCCCGCCCTGGCCTAAGTTCCAGAGAGCCAGCTTTGGTCTTGGCCATGCAGACATGCACGGCTTGCAGCCAAAACCCTGCAAGTCGGCGAGGCAAAGCACCTGCCGCAAGTGGCGCAGCCAGCCAGTGGTCAAGAAACACCGCGGCCCACCAAAACTTGACAGTCTGAGAGCCAAAAAACGCCGAACAACGTGCGCTCTAAAAAGCGCGCACATGCGTACCAAGAGAAAGGTCTCCCCATGCACCTTCGGGAATTGGAGGCACCCAATGACAAAAACGGCTTGCATTTTGGCTTCCCTACGCAACCCCAAGCTCACCCTCCAAATGACACCTTTTCTGTATGCGGAGTGCCCAACAACCATTTCCGGGAGAGCAGGTCTACCCTTTTTTTCAAACTGCGTGAGTTGCTTGTCTCCAGCAACTGCAACTTCTGCACGGTCCAGCAGATGTGTCTTTTTTGAGAGCAACCCCCCCTTTTGCGATTTTACAGGAGACCAAAAGGAAACCCGTGTTTTGCCAATTCGGTCGCCCCCTCACCCCCTCAAAAAGAAAAACGAAGACATACACATTATGTCACAGATTCCAGACTCCCTAGCAGGGCGGGGCACATTGGCCCCGCTCCGGCGCATGTCGCGCCTTAGGCGCGCCGCATGCGTTGCTCTGCCTTTTGTCTCACTCAGTGCAGGAGTTGCCCGCCGCGCCTTTCGCCGTGTCAGACACTCGAGCTCTGACAGTCGATACGAGGGGTCCGAGAAGAAACGCCATTTTGGGAAGGAGCAGTGTGGGTGGCTCTCCCCTTCAAACCGCAAAAGGAGTACCCTCCAAAAAAGACACCCACGCGTACGTGGTTGCTTTCTTTTCACCAAGGCGGGCTAGAGGAGAGCCCTGGCCAGCCCGATTTGGGAGTGCCGCAAACGGATTCAACTACCCCAAGGCCCCCTCAAGTCGCACTCAGCCGTATTAACTCTCGGGTGTTTCCGCGTGGGCCCACATCGTTACGTTCGACCCTGGCAACAACAAAACAGGCCGCCTCAGGAGTGCACTTGCGATGCTGTTTGCTCATGTTTGCCGTGGTGTTGCAGAAACAGCAGACAAAATCGAGAAAACCCAACAAAAAGCAAAAAGAACAAGAGACTCTCTGTCCTGACTGGGGGTGCTGGGCATAGTCTTGTTGTTTGGTTTTCTCGAAGTTGTTTTGGTATTTTCTTGAAAAGTGTGGAAAAACTAGAAAACCAAGAAAGCAAGAGTCCTGACTTGGGGGCATAGTCCCTGATTTTCTTGTTGTCTCGAGCTGTTGCTGCATTGATTTTTTACATTTTCCCGTTTCCTCCCTGTTGCAAGATCCTCTGTGGTGAAGCTGTAGTACGGTAAAGTAGAGATAGTTTTCCTCTGATTGGACTCTTTCCTGATTGAAGTATTCTTAATGTCCGATAGAAGTTAAGTAGAACTTGATAAATATACTGAGTAAAATTCATAAGAAAGGATGTGATGTTAAATAAATGGTGCTCAAATGTTTACTGATTTGCAACAAAAGGAAGTCCTGTGTGACACTTATGTTGAAATAGCATAATCATTATTTGATTCAAAGTAGTGATAGAAATTATAATTCGATTACTTTATTGTTAAAGTATTTCCAATGTCAGATTGAAACTAAGGTAGAACTTGACAAACAAGCTACATAGAATTCAGGAGGAAGCAATTCAGAAGTTCCACAATGGTTGAATCAGTTGCGATTAAATTTTTACTGGGTTGCAAAGACAATTCTAGTAGGAAGGAAATCCAGTATAACATGTGTATTGAAACAGAATATCATCATTTGAAATCCAATTGGAAATGGAAACGTTGATTGGGGTCGCTCCTCAATTCAGTTAGACATTGAGTAGAATTTAGTAAAGATGCTAAGTCGATGTCATAAGGAAATGATTCAGAGGTCCCGAAATTTGCGGTTTTTGTTTTTTGTTCACGAACCTTGTGGTCAGAAAACACCGTTAAAAAACACTTCGCTTCGAGCAACCCCCACCCTCCACACTCACGAGCTTACGACCATGAACACGGTTGTGTGCATGGTTTTCGAGTGGCTTGGGGCCTATGACTGCTCAACAAGCTTTGCATTGAGAGCCTTATCCACCTGTCTGTGTGTCAAACTCCACTTGTCTGCGAGCCAATCTCGAGAAATCAAACATCGGTTCCGTTAACAAAAGCCAAGCCCCTTCCAAAAAAAACGACGGGGGATTAAAAGAAGTTGATCATTCACAACCCAAAGCAAAACAAAAGCATCACCCTTTCCGAGCCTCATGGTACACTCAAAACACGAAGGCGCCAACATGAAATGTAAACCCAACTGTGCGCCGGGCGCGACATTAAGCAAAACCAGACTGGCGAGCTGCTCTGGCGGGATCCACTGGCGAAAACTGGCGAGCCGGATGCTCGGCAGGATCGGATCCACCGGCAAGGGATACTCAGCGAGATACTCGGCGGGATCCACGAGCTATTGTGGGATCCTCTGGCGGGATACTCGGCGGGATCCACTGGCGGGCCGCTCTGGCGGGATACTCGGCGGGATCCACTGGCGAGCCGCTCTGGCGGGATACTCGGCGGGATCCACTGGCAAGCAGCTCTGGCGGGATACTCGGCGGGATCCACTGGCAAGCAGCTCTGGCGGGATACTGGGCGGGATCCACTGGCCAGCTGCTCTGGCGGGATACTCGGCGGGATCCACTGGCGAGTAGCTCTGGCGGGATACTGGGCGGGATCCACTGGCCAGCTGCTCTGGCGGAATACTGGGCGGGATACTGGGCGGGATCCACTAGCGAGCTGCTCTGGCGGGATACTGGGTGGGGGCGTGATGTAGAAGCATCGCAAACGCGGATTCCACCATAAAATCTGACAACCCCTTCCTGTCGGGTGGGGGAAAAAAGTGTAGCGTTGTTCGTACTGAACTCTCCACCAACGGCCGCTCTCATAAACTCAATCACTTAAATGGGACTCAAGAAAAAAACTAAATTGATCAGAAGCCTACTGGAAATTACATCTTGCATGTAGAATTTAGAATGATTCTCCGATAGAACTTTACCATTCAAGTAGAGCTTAAACAGAATTTGATAAGGAAAGAATCCAATCACCGTGTCCTTCTTATAATAGAACTTAGACTAGATTTCTCCAGGAGTCCCCCAAGTTAATAGTTCAAGTTAAACTAGAACTTATATAATTGTTTTGCCAATCGCTTCTATGTACATTTAAACACAAATTATTCAAACATAGTTCAACTCGGGGCAAAAACAGAAGGAACAAAAAAGCAGGCTCGCAAATTCTTTCAACATAGCCCCGCTCTCTTTTTTTGGAATCTGCAAGTCTATGTGAGGGGGTAGCCAGACTCCAATACTTCAGATAGCAAGAGACATGTACCAACCAGCCCACTCCCACAGTCTGCTCTGGACAAATACACCGAGTTTCCCATCAACAAGGGAAACCTGGCAGAGATTGGTCTTGCCACTCAACTGGAGCAGTTCCCCCCCCGCCAAAAAAAAAAGCCTCCGCCGGGTTGCAACACACTTTGGGGTCTAAAAGAATTCACAATGGCCACAGGGGCCTGTGAAAGGACTGGGACTGGATCCGACGGCCAGGCTTCCGAACTGCTCCATCTCCCGCTCGCTCCCCGCTCCCCGCCTCTTCACGCCAGAGGCGGACGGCGTGGGCGAGTGCGAGGGCGCGAAGACCTCGCTCCCGGCACCCCAAGCCAACCGCCCGGAGGCGAAGCGAATGGCGCCGGCCAACGGCTGGGAACATCTGCGCGAAGCGACTGGATGCTTCTCGCTTTACATTTGTAAGACCCGGGTCGATTCTTCACAGGCGCCTTCGGGGCTAAAGCAAGACGAAAGCAAGTGAGCTTGCTACAATTGGGCGCTGAGGGATTCCAGCAAACAATACCTCTAGCCAAGACCCCTCAGAACGGAAGCTCGATGCTGTTCGCAGAGAATGGGCTAATTACCCTCAGTTCGGCTGCAGGAGCTCGCATGACAATGGCCATTTCCAGCCACCTCACGTGAGGGATCGCTCCAAACCGAAAGGCTCCTCCAATGAGAGCTCAACGAAGGGGTGCAGCAGGTTTCTTGGGCCATGTGGATGTGCGAATCCCAACCAAAGAACTGGTTACTTGCAGGGGTATGTGCACCAAAGGATCCAATGGCCTCCACTCCTCACTACAGGTAGAGGCTTACAAATCCAAGATGCCCATCGAAATCCCAAAAATACTTCCCGCCACGGAAGGCCTTGAGATAGTCGATGCTGAAGTAGGCATGTCTCCTGCGGCATCTCTCCCTCCAATCCAATCCCCCGGGTTGCATGCGGCATGGCTCAGACATCTCCCGGGCCGCTCAGATCTTTCAGCATCACAGCTGGAGTTGCAACCTGTACCGATTCACGTCCTTTTGCGGACGGAAAAATGTCCGCCCGGGGCATCACAGGACATCTTGCTGCCTTCCGTCTCACAACTATACAGGCATGGAGATTGGTGGGTCCGAAAAGCCATGCAAAAAGCCAGGGAATGCGCCGGCAGTTTACTGTACAAGCTCTATTGAGATATGTCAAGTATTGCTGTCAGGCCAGAAGCAAGTTGCTGTTCTCTGCTTCTGTCTGGCAAGCGGCTCAAGATGCCGCAAAACTCTTAGCACTGGCACTCCACTGCGGGTGTCAGGACCATGCTCTGCTCGAAGCCACTTGGCAAGCTGCAAGTACCTTCCTCGTCAAAGATCACCCTGAGGCGAGCAAGTTCCGTGTCCTTGTGGTACACCCGCACCCCTCCGTGGTGTCCGGAACCCGACAAGCTCTTCATGGAATCCAGCTTGTCCGCAACCGCTCGCCCAATGGCCTTGCGCAGGTGGCCCAGGTCGCCCGAAACCCGCTGCAGCGACACGTGGCCCACCACGGGCAAGCTGAGAATCCAGCGGTCCTCGTCTGTGACGTCGCCCTCCTCTGGCGCCGCGAAGAGGGTCCCTTGCGGCTCTACGGACTCGGCCTCGCTCAGGGAGTCCTCGGACGTGGCGGCCCTGGGCCGACTGGAGGCCCGGGAAGGCGAGGACTTGGGGCACTGCGTGGACTCCTCGTCCAGCCGCGCCAGGAAGCTGTAGATGCGCTCGGGGTGCTTGCCGTGCAAGATGCCGCAGGGGATGCCGGCGCAGTGCGCGGTCCGCGCGGCGGCGATCTTCGTGGACATGCCGCCCGTGCCCAGCGAGGAGCCCGGCTCCCGGGTGTCCACCCTCAACTCAAAGGCCTCGCTCACCACCTTCAGGGGTGTGCCTATCCTTTTTTGCTCAGGGCACCCATCCTTCGGCGGTTTTAATGGGAAACCAAAAGGAAAACCTCCGTTTTCCCCAGAAAAGGCTCTCTGAAACACAGGCACGCCTTCATGGGCTCCGCGCTCGGGTCGACATTGGGGTTCGCGGTGTAGAGGTAGTCCACATCGGTGAAGAGGAACACCCCCTGCGCTTCCAGCTGGACCGCCGTCAGCGCCGCCAGGTTGTCGTTGTCGCCGAAGCGCATGCCGTCCGTGTTGGTGGTGTCGTTCTCGTTGATCACGGGCACCACCCCGGCCTGCAGGCACGCCTCGATGGTGTGCCGGATCTCCGCCCAGCGCGGCTGCTCCACAAAGTCCCGCTGGCTCACCAGAAGCTGCGCGATGCGCAGCCCCACCGTCTCAAAGAGCTCGGAGTAGATCCGCAGGATGCGGCTCTGGCCCACCCCCGCCACCGCGCGCTTCATCTTGGGCTCCGTGGGTTTCTGGTCGAGGCCTAGCTCCCGGCAGCCCATGCCCACCGCCCCCGACGAGACCAGCACCACCTTGTAGCCCTTGTGGCCCAGGTCAGAGATGACCTCCACCAAACGCGACAAGTTGGCCACGTTCACGCGCTGCCCTCGCTGGTCCGAGGTCATAATGGTGGATGTGCCCACCTTCAACACGAGAATGCCGGCATCCGCCGTTGCCACTGGTGCCACAGGTGCGAGGGGCGCCATGGATGCCATCTCTAAGATGTCTTAGATGTCTGAGACAATCGCAAGAACTACGGGTCACCTTGAGCCGAACTTTGAGCATCCAAAACTGTCCAAAGGCTTCTCGCAAGCAAAGCGAGGGAGCACAGTGTGCGAGCGCTCAACTCATAAGGATAACTTACAGTTATCATAGCGCGTATAAATATGTATATATATATATATTAATATATATACACAAATGTACCCATGTTGCTCGCGCAGTTTGTGCTGCACCACAGAACTGAGACGCATCCCACAGTGATGTATGTGAATTGGATGGTGGCCCCAACGGGCGAGGGTCCCTACCCATGCAACGGACCCCAACCGCCCCTGGCCTGAAGAAGTCATTGATGCGGCCATCCTGTGCAAAAATTCACATTCCATCGCGGAGGTGGATCGATGCAACAAACAAACAAACAAACAAACAAACAAACAACAAACAAAACACAACAAACCAAAAACAATGGCTAGTGACTCGTTCATCAGCCATTGGCTTAACACTAGGATCTCACCATTCAACGAACCCAACTAAAACAAACAACAAACAAGTCGAGGTCGCGGGCCAACTGCCGCAACACTGCAAGGCAGTTGTTGCCCCTGCTGGCCAAGGCACGTTGTGCGTGGCGAACTTGGTGCAGCAGTCGTTCTTGGGCTGGAAGATCAGAGGACCGCAGCCTCGGGATGCCAGCGAGATACTGTGGATGGTTGCGAAATCCATTTCGTACCTAAGAAACCCGGGAAATGATTCGATTCCCCCTGTAACCAACAAACAATGGTTCCCCATTGCTTCTTGGGTGGTGCAGGATTTCGTCCATCCACAGTATCAAACCCTGAATGAAGGGAAGAGTCGGCTTCGGTGACCGCTGGTACCATCATAACCCGACACCTCCACTCTGGCGAGGGCCTTTCTTTTTCCAGGGGTCGTGGTTTTGGGGCGTCTCGTCGTTTCAGCCTTGGCATGGAGCCGCGTCCCCATGGCATTTAGACTCCCTGTGCGCTGGAATGCGAAGGGGGGGCGTCACGTTGAACATGGAAAGCCACGCGAAAACGTCTGCAGCCAACTGATCTCACGGAAACTCGCGATGCCTGCGGTAGTAACTCCTTCCGTAACTCAAGTTTGCGGGGCGTTCGGCCCCATGAACAACAGTGCACATCACGAAGCCGGGCAGCTCCCCAGCACCCCAGGGTGGGGCGGGGGGGGGGGGAGGATAAGGGACGGACGGACGGCCACGACCCCCAACCCCGAGGTAGGGCAAAAAGTCCAAGAGGGAAGTTGAGTCTGGGAACGTCCCTGAAGCCAAAAAAAGCAAGTCTGGCGATGAAACCAGATCCGACCCGACCCCCCTGGTTCCCCCCCTCTCCAGAGGCCCCTGCCGTGGGTGAAGCCGGTCCTCTTGGCTGCGCCCGAGCGGAACCAGCCGTTGCCTGCCCAGTCCCCGCAGAGGGCGATGTTCAGCACGATCTCCTGAAAAGGGCCCACAAATATATATATATATATATATATATATATATATATATGTGTATATATATATATATATATATTAATATGTGTATATATGTGTATATATATATATATATATATTAATATGTATATATATATATAATAGATATAGAAAATACATATGTGTATACATATAAAAATGTATAAATATATATATATATATATACTTTTTCTAGGGGACCCCCAAAAACAAGATGTAAAAAGAATTAAAAAAAATGTGGCGATCCTTATGCTTGCCCGTCTACACCAAAAAAATACCCTCAAAAACCACACCCATATTCACATACGACATATTCCTGACTTTCTTGTTTGAACTTGTGTGTGTGTGTGCGCACTTTGCTCTCAGCCCATAAGCCTGGCCCTGCACCTGCTGCGTATGTCGCGTATGCCCAGTTGAGTCCCCATCGCGCAGGAAGCCCTGCTCCGCAATTGAACCCATCAGGAACCACGTCACAAATATGCCAACATGGAACCCCGGTACATGGAATCATGGACTCAAACCTGCGGTCCCCCGCTGGTCTGACTCTGATGTACCTCTAGCCCAATCGCTTCTCCTGAGGCGATGCGATGTTCTGGCAGCTGTGGCTCTTCTCCATCGGCAAGTAGGCCACCTCAGGCTTGCTGGAAACCCACTGTGAGCGGGTTCCAAATCCATTTCGCGCCACAAAATGAAACCGTGGCTGAGACCATTGTCGGTATTTACTGGAACAAATCACCATTGGGTTTCCTAGAACGCCATGCTTGAAACCATCGGTTTGTTGGTATTTTTGCCTTGGGGGGAATCACCACTCCAGGGTTTCCTAGAACGGGTGCGGCTACGAGGACTTCGCAACCATCGGTGAGGGAAGCCCAAGGCTCAACTTGTCACCTGAGCCTCGAGATTCGAGGAAACCCCCGAGCCTCACACCCGGCCTTTCGAAGCAAATCAGATGTCCAACCCCGAAGCCCCCCCCCGAGGCAGCCGAAACTTCATAAGAGGAAGACGTCCTCATCGCTAGCTTCTGTCTTCGCAATGGTTTGGATATCCCCCCACCCCCTTCCGGCTTCGCCCCCCAGAAGTCAACCAAGTAAAGGATACGTCCAAGGACGCAAACGAGAAGCAAAGCAACACTGCTACAATAATTATTGGCCGGCAAGTCGCTTCTCTGTCAGTTGGTAGGGTGTAGGGTGGAGACAGAAAGAAAGAACACTTGTAAACTCATAATGACTCATAATCATGCAAGCTCATAACAAAAAAATACGTGTCCATTGAAACTCCGAACCCTTTGGATCATGAGCCGAAGCTCGTCCTTGAGCCAAAGCTTGAACCCCCGGCAGCTCCGGCCTTTTTTGTCAACCAAGGCACGGCAAACTCGCCCCAATTCTGCGGCCTGGGCTGATCCTCCTGCGAAGAAACGGCGGGCCGTCGAAAAAGGATCTTCAAATGAAGGGCGCTGCTGCAAAGATTGCAACGAGGCTCCACCAACCTCCGATACAATGCCGGGGCCTACAGTTGCCACCCAGCGAAGCTTTGCAGTCGACCGACAGCTTGGGCTTGAAAAGTGCCGAATGCAAGCTCAATAAATAACAAAGCGAAATCCGCATGAGATTTGGATCACCAGTAGCTAGTGAAAGGGTTCCTTCCACTTCCATTGGGAAGCATCCAACGCCTCGGATTTTCCTTCCAGTTCCATTGGGAAGCACCCAACGCCAGTTGCACTTGCCTCAAAGATCTCGTTCGCGCCTGCAAGTCCGATGGGATCCGATTCTTGGGAATGTGGTAGACCTCAGCCACCCACCACGGTTCCCGCCGGGATTCGTTTTTTGTTGATCGAATCCGCTTGTTCCGGCCCCCAAAAAAAAAGGCTTCACAAGTCCAAAGTCATGACTTCAAAAGGTTCTGCAACTGCTTGCCTACAATTGATGATTCGGTTTGGTTCTTCGGGTTGGTGTGAGTTTGTGGCTTCCCATCCCTCCACAAGACACAGGGGGGCAACTCCACCGATGACTCTTGCCGCCCGCGAGACCCGGCTTGCAAGCCAAGGAGTCGCGGGCCTCGCGGGCCTTGCCAAGCGGCAGTGATGCCCTCGTCGTCCCATGCTGCCGCGATGACACCTACGAGTCATCTCATATATTCATATGGCCATAGGTCAAAATCCAAATCGTACCCCCAGTGAATATCCCAATCCAACCACTAAAATAGACTAAAATGGGTGGTGCACCTACCCCAACATTGTACCATTGGTTTTGACCTACAGCCATATTACCAAAGGCCCCGCAACGGATCTCTCAAAGCGAGAAAAGGGAAACTTGTTTCCAAAAGGAGCACCACACGGGACATGCGCCAATTCCCACAATGGGCATTTAAAAAATTAGTGAGCCCCCGCGAGGAATTTGGTGAGTCCCAGCCCTCTCCCCCCCCCCACCCCCCAAATGGTGGTTTTCCTGTTGGTGTTCCTCTAAAACCGCCCCGGAAATGGGCACCCTCAAAACAAAGAGTCATGTGCATGTAAACCCCTTCCCGGAATCTGCCGTCAGGCTCTTCAGAGTGCGACGTATCGGGTACCCTGAAGAGCTGCAGTTCGGCCAGCAAGTTAGGTGGCTGAGAGCTCCAGCGGGATGCGATGATGGGACTCGGCTCGGCGATGATGGCATGGGCACCCGTGCGCGAAGCAGGCGGTCGAGATGTAGGAGCGGATTTGGTCTCCAAAAAACGGAGCAAGTAGGGAAGGCGGACAAACAGGAGGGAGGTGGATCGGAAGAGCAGGCAGGGGGAGGAGGGAAAGGAACAGGAAGAGGAGGAGGAGGAGGAGGAGGAGGAATCAGCAGACAAAGGGGAAAGAAGCCGCTGTGCCGAAAACCTGCACGGGCTCTGGCCGGGGGTCTGGTGGGCTGGGGGCAATGATAATCATTTTAACATGACCAACCTCATTGAGCCACTTCGGGTTCGTGTTGGCAACCTTCTTAAGTCAGCTGAGCCATTTCTGCGGGAGTGGGGAGGCACGGAAGACACGGCTTGTGTCGAAAGGACCTGCGAGAAGACGTGCCAATGGGGAAAGGAACGGAGGGTTTGGCCTCACGGGTCCACGAGCCTGTGGCAGGTTCTGCCGAACTCCTTCACGCCGGTCAATCCGTTGCTTCGCCTGCCGTCTCCTTCAAGCTCCACAAGTCTCGCGGCATCGCAACCACACTCCCCTTTCTGGGTGCAACCGCCCCCCCCCCTCAAAAAAAAAAAAAGGGGGCGCCCCTGGTGCGGAGAACAAAGCGCGCCAAGGGCGCCATGGGCCCCTAAAAGGGTTCTCGAGCGCCCACCCGCGGTGTTTTTTGACTCCGCGCCTGGGTTCTTGGCGTACCAGTCCCCAGGTCTCTGGACCTGTTGGGGTCGACACCCCAGCTGGTTCTTCCAGTAGTTCCTCAGCGCGGGAACTCAGCGAACTGTGAGCAAAAAGGATGGATCTGCAGCAAACAAAAAACGGCACTCCCACGGTGTCGCTCCCTCTTTGCAGAACACGGCCAAGCAATGAAAGCACGATCCGGACATTGCACCATCAATATGCAAATGCCAATGCAAGCTCGTCACAGCCGAGCTGGGCATATCATAACAGCTGCAAAAATCACTGGCTGACATCGACGAAGCACGTGAAGCAAAGCAATCTTGGGCCCAGCGATTACAGTGCTGGCAGATGCAACACTTGCTTGTAATTAACAAGGATCCTTACATTATACACCTGAACATTGCCTTGTCAATGGTGGGTTCCCTGTATTTTGGTGGAAAAAGCCATGCTTCAAATGGGCAAAATGCATCTTTTGGGGAGCCCTGATGAATCTGCCCACTAAAGTGATGGAACAACCCCACAACTACATGGGACTTCTGGAAAGGTGACATGAAACAAGACCAGAAGGTAGGCATGGCTAAGGAGCAAACGAAAACGGCTTCCCCGGCTTTCCGGTTCATTACTAAGCCAACGCATCATAAAATAGTAAAGCCTTGGCCAAAACAAACGACTGCAAGATGGCCACGTATCCGGATGCGTGGTCTCATGAAATTGGACCCTTTGCTGGCTAATCTTCTTTGATTCTCTGAATGGGCAGACTAGAAATAAATACATAGAACAAAACCATTAATCATACACCAACACATGCCCATACAAGTAAACAACCAAGCACATAAACAACAAAGACAACCAGCAGACAGACAAAAACAAACAAACAAACACACGAACAAACAAACAAACAAACAAACAAACAAACAAACAAACAAACAAACAAACAAACAAGCAAGCAAGCAAGCAAGCAAACAAACAAACAAGCAAGCAAGCAAGCAAGCAAACAAACAAACAAGCAAACAAACAAGAAAACAAAGAAGAAGAGGGAAAACAAGGAAGAAGAAAAAAACGGGCATCCGCCGTCAATCGCCGAGTCGAACTTTGCTCGTTTTGCCGAGGCGCGTCTTGCAGTTCATGGGCCCGGGGCCGCCCATGTGCTTGCCCGCCATGCACTGGCCCAGCTTCCCTCGGAACGTTCCGAGGTCAAAATGCTAAGGGGCCCCATGAAGACCCTAGTCGTTCAAATCGCCCCTATGGGGATGTGTGAGATGTGATGCGAGGCCGTCTCGCCGTAGCCCTTTCGCCCCTTGCTTGGCGGGCCTTTTCAAGGGAGGCCAAAGGGGAAAGTGTGTCTTTTGCGGAGTTGCTGCCCCCTTTTTTCGCTAGTGGGTTTCTAAGGGAAACCATCCGGAAACCCCCAGCTCTCAAGGCAGATGGAGCCCCTATGGCACTAGGGTCTCGCCATGTTTGTAGAGCCCTAGGGCCAACTCCGCGGGATGTGTCTGTCCTCTTTTTTGGCCTCCCCCCCCCCCCCCGGCCTCCAAAAAAAACACATGGCTTCGGGTACATCCCTACCATCGCCCAAAATCCGAGGCCCAAGAGTGATTCGCTGTTTGACTTCTTTCTGGAGACCCCATGAAACGGGGTCTTGGGGGAGTTATCTCGCTTTGGCATTGCCAGGACTCCCGCTGATCTTTCCAGCCTTCGTGCCTTCCCTGGTTTTTTGTGGTCTGCAAGGGCACGTCCGGTTTCACGCAGCTCCCTTCAACCAATTGCAGAGGAACAGGGCCGTGGGCTTCCCAAAGACTGGCGCCCCCACATTAAAGGGGGAGATTCCAACTTGTATCACAGAAGTGGGGGGAAACAAAACCCGAGTGATCCACCACAACCCTGAGGAAAAACCCGAGTGATCAACCACAACCCTGAGAAAAAGAGGAAAAACAAGCGAGTGATCCACCACAACCCCGAGAAAGAAAAAATGAAGAAGAAACAAACAGCTCGCTCGCGCCACACCCGCGGATCCCATCTCTGAACCGATCCGATGGCCCAGGTACGACCATCCAACATGCAGTTCCTGTCGGCGTGGAAGGTGATCTTGCTCGCCTGAGCGGCGAGAGAGGAGCCGCTGGCAATGGAGAAGCATGTCCCAGCTGCCATGGTAGCTGGGGGCTGATCAATTCGGCCCCCAGGTTTGACCATGGGAAAAGTATCATCCTTTTTACTGGTTTCCACCCATGGTCATCCAATGTAAAGGACCTTTTCCTCCACCCCCAAATGATAAATGGCAGTCTCCGGACTCATGCAGCGCAGTGTGCAATCCTGGTTCACAAGAAACAAGTGCAGCTGCCATGCGCTTGCCCGCATGGCACCTGCCTCTCCTCTGTAAAGACCACTGGATTTGCAGAGCTTGACACCCACATCTCGGGCCCGTCCCCTCTCGCCCCGTCCTCATCGTTGGCATACTCCATGATATCGAACTCACCACCCTTCGGCCTAAGCACAATTCCGACATACCTTTTGGACCCACAAGTTCTCTGCATCGGATGCTCGCTTCCACCAACAGCCACGCCCAAAGCCAGGAAACAAAGCACAAGTCAAGCACACGCTTCCTCGTGGTCTTTCTCTTTATCGTCCTCTCTCTCTCTCTCTCTCTCCATTTCATGAAAGTGACCACCGTAAATTAACACCGACTTTTTCGAGCTTGGCCCCCCTAAAGCCCGCTGAAGGATCGACAAGAGACTCAAGGTCGACCCCCCCAAAGTTCGCCAACGGTTGCGCGAGGGCAGTGAGAGAAAAGCAACCAGCCAGGAGTTGTCGAAGGGCCAACCACCACCCACACGCGCTCCTGGAAAGCCCGGTGCTTGCTTTTCGACCCGCAGTGCTTCTGTTCTTGAAAAAAATAACGCGCGCAAGTAATGTGCGTTCTTAAGCAGAGCCAGCTGTCGCTCCAGCACCACGGAGGTGCCTTCTTCTTGAAACCTTTGATCATTGAACACCACTCCCAACCCTCCAAAACTCGGCCTTGTCGAACCTCTGGGCGAGGCTAACTCTCGCCAACCTGTGGAATCATTTTGGGGGCCCAGAGTGGGGGCCCCCAGCAAAACGGTTTTGCCAATCACCTTTCAGGCAAGTGTCCAGACGTTGTCGCTGTTCATCAACCAAAAGGCCGGCCAGATCGAGGCGCCGTAGGGCACGTGGTTGTACTTCATGACCACCAGCATGCCTCGAAACCAAAGCCGGTCCGTCGCGCACCGCCCACGAACATCGGCGAGAAAAACTGCCTCGACCAGGCAAATCGGCCACCATTTGGGGCCGGCTGTCTGGGCGATTTCAGTAAGACAAGGCAGCATCCTTGGCCTGAAGCCTCCCTTGCAGTGGCTTCAAGTTCTTCATAAGTCTGTTGAACCCTTCCATCCTAAGCCCTGCCAAACGCACATAGCCTGTGGGAGTAGGTTGCCCTGGGAGGCCTCGAACAATTGGCCTGTCGGTGCCCGGCTGACAACAACCTTCGTGTTTAAAATGTTGTCCTGAACGCCGTGAGGCGTTGAGGGTCTCATTGGGGCGCGTCTCTCTTTTCGGACCCCCAAATGGCAGTCAACTCCTTTGAAACCACCACAACTGAGTCACTTGCTCAAAACCCGGTATTAAAATGGTCGTAATCCCAGAACCACACTTCAAGAATTAAGAAGGCGGAGATGCGCAACTAGTTCTGGCTGTGACTGTTACTAACCTTCATCTACCCGAATCGGTTTTGAGTAAGTGGCTCAACTGGGGTACCCACCAACATAGGTGGCCTTTTGGAAAAATAGATGGGTTTCCCTGGTAAATGGGGCATAAACCCCATCTAAACCAGGAATGGCCCTCTATCTTTTTCAAGCAAACCCACCAAGAAGGACACCTCCCACCAAAACAACCGCACATGGCCCCTCCCCTTGGAGCTCCGCGGATGCAATTTCGCCCCTCGCCCCAGTTCGTCCGCAGCGCCGCTGGTCGGGGTCCACGCGTAGTTGGAGTGGATCATAACCTCGGCTCGTGCCAGGGCCAAAGGAAAGTTGGAGAGTCAGTTGTCTCTAAGACGAGCTGTGCTGAAAAGCTATCCAACACCCTCTACACCACTAGAAGCGCAGAGCAAAAGCCTTCTGAAGCAACAGCACGCAATCTCTCTCTCTCTCTCTCTGCAACAGCACCCAGCAGCTGCAGGAAGTGTTGTTTTTTGAGGGTACCCCCATCTCCTGCAGTGCTCAAGGGAAACCAAAACGAACACCACCATTTTGGGGGTCCCATTTTTTTCAACAGAATGACGCACCTCAGCACCCTACACAGCTCCACTTTCCGGCACCCAGCACCAAGGCCAGCTCCCAGCACCCCACCGCCATAGACATCCATGTTTGGATTCTCGCGAAAAATTGGGAAGCTCCGACCCCTGAGTTTCAGCAAGGCACCCTAAGTACCGAAAAGACCTCCTCGGAGGGAAAAAAAAACTCGCCCCGGGCGCCCTTAGGTGACCCCTGGCTCGAGTTGTCTTGCGCCTTGCCCCTCGGACATCTCGTTCTAATAATAGTATTATTACTGGTAGTGGTGCTGAATCTAATTCAACACCTAGTACACCAGCACATAGTAGTATAAATGTTAAGACGCCTAAAATGGAAGCAAAATTATCATCGCCGAGGGGCGGAGGTGCGCTTGTAGGGCGCGTTGGGGTCCCCGCTCGCCTCGATCTGCCCCAGGCGGATGATGGCGCTGCCCGAGTGATCGATCTCAATGACCTCAGAACGCCCAAGACGCGTTGAGACTGGAACGTCGGGGGCCCGACTCAAAGGGAGACCTGGGGGGAGAAAAAACAACAACTTGGGGAAACTATGGGAAAACACGGGGAAACCATGGAAACACATGGGGAAAACATGGGGAAACGCATGGGGAAAACATGGGGAAACATGGGGAAACATTAAAAACAGATGGGAGACCATGGTGAAACTCAAGAATCGCGGTTACGTCTTCAAAACCTAGGCCAAGTCCGAGGCATGCGGCATGCGGCTACGTGCCCAAAAAAGGCAGAAATCCCCCAAACAAAAAATGATTAGGGAAAAAAAGAAGAAAACAAACATGACAAGGATTCGCAAGGTGGCCTCCGACTTCGCTTCCCTTTCACCCCCCGAAAAAAAAGGCGCTCACTAGGCTCTGCACAACTCCACCGCTTTCGGCCAAATGGCGTGCTTCCGAAAAGCCTCCTGCTTCGAGAGGTACTTTTGGGCGCCGTGGGTGTCGTCCTCGCGGGGAAAAAAACCGGGGGCGTCCGGTGAGCCGCTATCCTCAAAACCGAGCGGTATGAAAGTGGTTGATCACCAAGAACCATGGCACAAGAAATAGAAAGGCAACGAAGGCGGCCTGAACCATATTTTGGGATGATCTCTTACTCACCTTCGTTCACCTGGTTTGTTTCTTTGGCTGCTTGGTGGGTATCAAAAAGTTTAAATTCCAGGAACTCAGGAAGTGAGTGGCTTTCCGGTTGCTTTCTCTTTAAAACTACAAAAAAAAAGGCACCTTAAACAAGCACGCCCATGTCTAAAAAACCATCTCCGGGAAATTCTCAGGGGCTTCGGCTGACTTCCTGGTTCGACTTTCCTGGAGATGGTTTGCTAGACTTTTGCTCAACCCCAAAATCAGGGCTCTTAATTGTCAGCTTCCTTCCATCGCTTGGATTGGTAGGCTGGAGGTTAGGGGAAGCTGGGTTCAAATCCCCACCAATCCAAACCACCAAATGGGAGTGGTGACTTTGCAGGGTTCCTTACATTTCCTTTTTGATGAATGCTGCTTCACTGTCGCCTCTTGGTTTACCGACAAACATGGAACCCACCAGAAAGAAGTCTCCATGGAACCCACCAGAAAAAAAGAAAGAAGTGTCTTCTCTCTGCTCTCTTTCTGTCTTTCTCTCTTTCCCTCTTTCCATCTTTCTCTCTTTCCCTCTTTCTATCCTTCTCTCTTTCCCTCTTTCTATCCTTCTCTCTTTCCCTCTTTCTCTCTCTCTCTCTCTCTCTCTCTTTCTCTCTCTCTCTCTCTCTCTCTCTCTCTCTCTCTCTCTCTTTCTCCCTCCCTCCCTCTCTCTCTCTCTCTCTCTCTCTTTCTCTTCTCTCTTATTCTCCTCTTCTCTGGCCCTTGCTCTCTATAGTAATATTTGTGTCTAGTAGTCCGCCTGGTGCTCTCTAATCATTTGTCAGTCTGCCTCAAGGGCTCCCCATTTCAAGGTGCGCGCTCTCGCGCCTATGGCCAACACTTCCGAGACCACTTCCGTCCGCAGAACGTTCATTTGAAGTTAGAGATGCAGTTGTCTGGGATTCCGACAGCCCCAGAAAGTACTGCTAAGGATGGCGACCCTTTTTGATTTGCAATATATTTGGGTGAATTATAATATTTCAGCAACCTGAAATAAGGCGCTTGGGGGGCTATTCCCCACATAAACCGCCATTTGGGGTGAGGTCGTGTGAGGTCGCTATAAAATTCACCCAGATATATTCTTGCTGAGCCTATTCATCAGATCTACTTCTTGTTCTTACAGTCTTAGCCAAGTAGCGTCTAAACTTTTCCACAGAAGTTTGAACTTTTCCTATCAAGGCTCACCAGTGAAGTTGACGGGGGAGAGGGCGTGCATTCTGCACTTGCCCAAGAGCCACAACGTTGACGTTCAGAAATGGTGTTCTGAGAAAACAGCTTCAAACCTCTTTAAAGTGCAAGGGGTCTTTTGGACACAGTTCCCTTCGCAGGAACCTCTCACGACCACCCACCAATAACATCGTCTTCCAAAAGGAACTGCATTAAAAAGACTTGAGGCACTACTCATAACTCACAGCAGGTTTCTGGTGGCGAGCAACTCAAGCCCTCCCAAACCCAGGTGGAAGGATGAAGACCTGGCACCAATCACCTCGCCCCTCCCCTCACCCCTCCCGAGCGGACCCTTTGGCCCTTGGCCCTTTGGCCCAGTTCCTCCGTCACAAAGGTGAACTGGTTGAAGAAGTCCCTCCCCTGCGCGCGCCAGGACAGACCTCGGAGACGTCTTGCTCTTCCGGTCTCTTCTTTTATGGCCAAAGGCCTTACTACGACACCGATCCGGTTGCCCCAATGGAGTTCTTTGGGCTTCGAACCCCCAGGCGAACCATGAGGAATGAAAACCCATCGATGCCCACCACTGTAAGGAACTCGCGCCAGCTTTGATGCAGCAGATCATTTGGCTGTGGGTCAAACTCCAAATCGTACCCCCAGTAAAAACATCCGATTCAATCCAACCACTAAAATAGGACGCCTATAATTTGGGTGGTGAATTCACCCAAACCCAATCAAAATGGTTTGGATCCACCACAACGGTTTTGACCACCACCGCCATTTCTCCCAACCGAGGCCGGCGCGGTAGTCCTGCGGCTTCGCGAAGCAGCCTGGCCCGAAGCGGGACGCGCTCCACGCGCCGGCCCGGAGCGGCTGGGCGTCCCACGAATTTTGGTGTGGAGTGTGGTTTGGATGGCTTCAGGAGGGGATTTGTTTGATTTGTGCCGGAACCAGAAGTAATCAAAAAAAAGCCACCAATCCAAAACCAAGGAAGGGTTCACTGACTTACAGCTCGAAGTACGAACTAGGAGCCACACCCATCGAGGCGAGATAGCTGTAGTTCACCGCTGCTGCTGCCTCCTGCGCAAGTCAAACTGGATGGCATTCAGCGTGTCCCTCGCATTTTGGGCTTTTTCACAATGCCCAAGTGAGGTTGATTCTTCTCTTTTTTCGGGGAGCCCCCAAAACGGCGCTTTTGGTTTCCATTGAAAACCAAGCAACACAGGTTCCCAAAAAAAGACCAAAGTCCGGAAATCAAGGCTTGGTGCGCGTCGTGGGGGAAAAAGAAAGCAACGCAGACAGTTCCACTCCTCTTCCACCTCTGCCAGGTCCACTGGTGAGTGAGTCGCCTTAGAAGCCCATCCGCCAGGCCGCCGCCCAGTTTACCCACTACCACACCTATTGTGGATGGACGAGATCGTGCACCGAACAAGCCCTGCAATGAGGGTTCCGGTTGTAAAAATACCGACAAAGCATGGGTGTTCCATGTTTCAAAGTGGTGCGAAATTGAAACGGATTTCGTCCCTTCACAAGTATCAAGTGCAGCAGAGGTGTTTGGCCCTTGCCGAATTGGCAGGCTGAATGTTTCCATTCAACAGCTTCACAGGTGGCCCCGCTGCGTACTACATATGGGCCTCGCCTGATTTCTTTTCTTGGAACCATGAAAAGCGAAAGGATATTAGCAAAGGTGCGCGTCCTGGCTTCTGTTACCCCCCCCCCCCACCAACACCCCCAATCGCCCCACCCAGCCCAAGCCCCACCCATCGCATCCAGCCCCACCCCTGACCGCCTGGAGCGAGTCCTCAATGAACTGCGCCAAGGCGTCCTCGTCCACCCTGAACTCCTCCGACACATGCTCCGCCTGCCGACGATTTTCGGCACACGCGGCCGGCGCGGCGCCCGGGCGGCCGGCCGGCGGGTGTTTTTTGCCGGGCCACGGAGAAGTGAGCGGCGGGGGGTTGGCATGCTCGGCAGTTGCGCCGGAGGGTTGTTGGTGAAGAACAGTGGCCCCTCATGGGCCTGCATGCTGGCTGTTTGCTGAACAAGCGGCCTGTATGGTGAATCCAGCCCTCGAGCATGTGCCCACCCAGGTCTTCTGTTTGAAAGCTCACGGGCTCGAGTAAAGCCCCCCTGAAAGCTGGCTTTGTTCTCTGCCAAGCTGGACACAAATACCCAACAAGTCAAGGGATCAACGGTCAAACTCAAGGCACTTCCAGGCAAGAAACCTCCCCACCGGCCAATGATCCACAAAATGTCACACGCATTTCTGTCGTTTTGGCACCCCACAAGGTCCCTTGTGCTTGTTCTTCTTGGAAAACAGCCCTTTTAGAAGGAACCGCGGCTTTTTTTTCGTGGAGAAAACAACCAAGCCACCAGGCTAGAAAAAGGAAGAAGAAAAAAACGCCAACCGCCCCGAGCGCCCCAAGGCGCCTCCGGCTCCTCCGTGCCGCTGGGCCTCCGCGCCTTCGCCCCGCGCCGCTGCAGGGCGCTCAGGGCGCAGGTCTCGCCTCCGGCCAAAACGAAAGCCGTAGGCGCTGAGAGACGGAGCGAAAGGCCAAGACGCCACGAGGTTTGCCTCTTTGAGGCGACCCTCGGAAACAAAAAAGAAAAAGAAAGATAAAGACAATCCAAAAAAAAAAAAGTGTTACGGGGGCTCACCTCAAAAAAGGACAGAGCCACACACACACACACACACACACTTTGGAAGAACTGGTTTCTTCTCGATGCCTCACCTGACCAGTTGTGAGCTGGACGGAGATGGCCGCGGTTCCACTACCCCTCAAGCGAAGCACTTTATTCGGCTATTTGGGTGTGGCTCAAAAGTTAAATAGCTAGGGTTACGCAGATTTAAAGTCTTTGGTTTCTTTTACCAAGGTGCCATTTTGCTACATTTTTTGAGCCACAGCCATTTTTCGTGGCTGTTCGCATTTTTTATTCCTGGGGCTCATCTTAGAAAGCGATGGCCATACTTCTTTCAGAGGGGGTCACTCAAATGGATCTCAGTTAGTCGGAGCACCGATGAATCCGAGTCTACAAAACGGTCTCCAGTCAGCCTGATCCGATTCCAACCAGAATACGAAGGTCATTTGCGGAGAACAAAACCAAGAACGGACGGATGAGCTTCAATTGGAATGAGGAACCCTTTGGTGGATATATTTCAGTTGCAGAGGTCCGTACCCCCAGTGAACATCCCAATCCCCACTAAAATAGGATCCCATTGGTTTTGACAACCACAGCCATATTTGCCGGCGCGAAGCGAAGCTTTGGCCTGCGCACTGATCATCGCCGAGCAAGGCTTGAAGCTCTGGCGCTTGGTTGGCCACCGCCACTGCGCACAGCAGTGCCAGAAGAAGGGCCTCGGATCGGCAAAACATGAGGCCAAGCTGCGGCCGCGAATCGCGCCCCCCAAAAAAAACATGAGACAAAGGCGGGTGGCTCCCAGAGTTTACCATGCTTTGTTGAATCCCGTGGATAAAAAATGCCGTGTCACCCAAACCTCAGGTTGCAGGAGCAGCTCTACTCCGCGGCTGCTTCCCGCTGGAAGCTGGGGTCCACACCATGGCTGGCCGCCTTTCTTTGAAGACCTTGCGAGCGCAGGGAAAACCTGGTCCAAAGCCACAGAATGGGCAAGGCCAAACACACAAACTCCGTGTTCCACTAATTGGTGGTTTGGAGCCCTGTGGTTTGGTGCGTTTTCAGAGGGAAGTCTCCAAATCCTCCAAACGAACAATCCAAACCACCAATTCAGGCCTACCTGACAAATTGCAGACCAAGCGGCAGAAGAACGCTTTGAACCAAGACTTCGATGAGCCAGATAGGCTGGCAGATCGAAAACGCTCTGGAGGCCGCAGGAAAGATACCCCTTGGTAGCCGGGTGGGAACCCCTTTTGCCAGTGATATCGCTGGATCCCGTCTAGGTGAATCACCAAATCTTCCAAGCCTCTGCAAAAATGGGTGTCGTTTTTGAGGGCACCCCCCAAAATCTCGTCGCTTCTCCTGGCGGTCTCCCTTTAAAAAGATTCCCAAGAAAAAGGCACGCCCAACAATTCAAGACTCTCCCAACCTTCCCCTCCCCGACTAAAGCACCCAGAACAACCCCAACCCGCGCCCCCCCCCCCACCCCGGTTTTCCGCGCAGGTCTTTTCCGCGGAAGCCGCGCTTTGAAGTCCGCCTCCGGGAGCTCGCGGACCACCTCAAACAGCTCTAGGGTACCTTCCATTTCCGTTATTTTCAGGGATCCGAATCTTTCCGGAAAACCTCCAGAAACCCAGGGAAAACGGCAGGTTTTTGAAAAGGACGATGATTGCAAAGAACGGGGAATCAACCCCTGGAACAGCCGCAGCGTCCACACCCCGGCCCCAGACTCATCAGCTCAACAGCCCGCGCCCGGTCGCCTCCATGCCCCCTACACCTGGCAAAGTCTTTGGGCCAGTTACCATCGCCTGCGCCTTCGCGAATCCCTGCCACAAGCTCCACATGTCCAAAATTGCGGGGCGGCCACAGACCGGGGCTGCTGCCACTCGCTTGTGGGCGTAGAAGAACTTTGCCCTGAGCGGCCCAAAACCCGTGACAACCCCCCATCTAGGAGAAGTGAAACTCAAGACATGTGTGACATGGGACAACTGTTCGGGATCACCAAGATGAGCTGAGAATCAAGAAACCGGAAGCACCCTGATCAGTGGAGAGAGATCCCAACATGGCTTGCATCTCCATCACGGGTGCAAAAGACAAACAGCGGGATCTGCGTGCTCCCCACATGTTGCAAATGAGGATGGATCTTGCGGGAAGCAATATAATAACAAACATATTCGATGCTTGTGACGCTTATATACATATACTAGTTAAATTTGTCAAATATGTGTGGGGAACGGCCGCGCACCTAAAATTCGACGCACCCCCTCGTGTGAGATGTGCCGAAGTCCTTGTGTGGGGAACGGCCCAGTGGACCCTTGCGTTACCAGCCCGTACCGTTGCCTTCCAAAAAAAATGGAAGGCAAAGGAGTTGCTATCAAACTCCCTCAACCCCTCCAGTCTCCAAAACTACATGCGAAAACCTTGGAAATTCTGGTTTCTCCCCGGAAAAGCAGTGCCCGGGACCCTACACAAGCCTACTCACAACTTGATCACATTAGGGACATGTCCCACAAACTCGCAAGCCCCAATATGCCCCAACATTCCTTTGAAACAACTCTAGGGGTTGATTCCCCATTCCTTTCTACCATCGTTCTTCTCAAAAACCGCCTGTTTCCCCTGTTTCTTTTTTTCTGTTTTTTTCTTTTCTCTCGGATGGCTTCCTGAAAAAAAAAAAGGATTCGGACCCCTAAGCATGGATTTTGGAAGGTACCCCCTGCAACCGCAAAGCCCTCACACACAAAGGTCACCACCTCCTCGACTCGCTCCGATCGAGGCCAGGCATCGATCCCATCGATCCCATCGATCCCATCGAGGGCCCGGGGGCCCGGGCCACAGCTCCGTGGCCTGAGGTCCACCCAGAGCCTGGCGGCTTTGTCGGCTAGACTAGGTCCAGACTTGAGAGGTTAGAAAACGGGTACCCCATGTTTTTGTTTTTTGGTCTGTTTGAGTGGGGGGAATCCTCCCCAAAAAAAAGGGCAAAAAAGGGCACTACTGGGGGACCTAATGGAGCCAGTAGGACCCAAGCCGGGATCCTTTCTCAAACGTCTTTGAAGCAAGCAGATATGTTTCGCGTGTCCAAACAAGTTTGGCCCACACTGCCACACTCTCTCCACATTAAACAAAAACAAACAAACAAAAAACACGTGTCTTCTGTCTTTCTACCTTCCGCCTCAACTGCCAAAACCAAATCCGAACACGATGCCCATGATTGTTTGACGCCCAGTATACACACGGAGATAGCATTGCCATCACCCATACAGCCCTATTCAAGCACCCAGAATCACAAACAAGAAGCACGCATCGCTCCTTCCAAGCTGAAGAAGAAGAAGAAAAAAAAGAAAAAAAAACTCCCGCGCCGTCTTTTTGGTGCATCCTCCCCATTTTCGGCCACCCATTCTCGCGCTTTTTCTCTCCCGAAGCCTCCTCCATGGCCTGTTTGAAATGGGCCCGAGACCGCAAGGGGCTGACCTCTTGGCACCGCCTCGGCGCGTCACTTAGAGCAACGGATCCCCAAGAGACACCTGGAGACATGGACTCAGCATCTATCCTCCCAAAGCATTTCTGGGAGGGGACAAATGAGTCACAATCCAAACCCGGTATTAAAATGGTCTACCCAGAACTAACCTTACTAACCTTATTAACGTTCATCTACCCGAGTTTTGATTGTGGCTCTAATGACTAATGAAGATCAGTTTCCTCTTGTAGACACAAACCTGCGGTGTTCTGGTGGCTCTGGTAGGGACCAACTCCCAGTCAGGTGCCATGTTCGTGGGAGTGAGGGTAAATACTAGGGACCTCCCAAAACATGTAAAGAGTGCCAGTTTCACATAAAAGGCTCCCCCAAAAGAAAATCCAAGCGCCGCGCGATTTCCTCCGAGAGAAACATGGCTGTGGGTCACAATTGTGTGTCGAAAATGGAACCCTGGTAAATGGAAATTAGGCACGAAACCAGGCGCTTCCCTAGTGGGTTAATGTTGCCCCATGCCCACATAACAAAGGCTCCGAGGGACCCGCTATTTGGCTCCCGTCCGACACCGGGGCCCGTGCCAAATGAGCAGATCGCTGACCGCCCGCTGCGCCCCTTTGGCGTCCTGTCTCTCAAAACCCCATGTTCGAGGTTGGTGGGGTCGTGCATCCATAGAGCCCTCATGTGCCCATCCAAGCATGGACATCCAAACAATGAACCTCACAGGGAGGTTCTGGAAGATCATGGTTTCTTTGAAAGAGACCCTTTTGCTGGGTTCCATGGCAACGTGGACCAACCGGTACCCATTGCCTCGTCTCAAAACTCCGGACCTCTTGGTGGGGGACGCTGCTCGACACATATGTGCGAACGGCTGTCTTTCAGATCTCGAGCGCATCACATTGGCAACTCCGCATGTGGTGTGGCAGATTGAAGGAAGCCTGGCAGATTGCATGTGGTGAGACACCCCCCTCCACAACAGCCTGGCCCTAATTCTGTGGCAGCACATGTTGAAGCAGGACCTGGTTTACGGCAAATATCTTCTTTGCCGCTTCTTTCCACTTGGCCCGTCCTGCCTCTAGCTCGGCAAGTTCAGCCAACACCGCCGCCGTCGCGGCGCACTTCCCCCTTGCCGTCAGCATCTTCGCCGCCTGCAGCGCCCTCCGCGGCTCCTCGGCTTCCGCCAGCGCCAGCGCCGCCAGCGCCGCCAGCGCCGCCGCCTCGGCCCGCTGGGCGCCTCGCCGCAGCGCCGCGGCCACCTCTGCCCGGCTGCGCCGCGCGGGCGGCGGCCGGGCGGCGGCGCGGGCGGGGCGGCGGCGTGGGCGGCGGCGCGGGCGGCGGCGCGGCGGCTGAGACGGCCCAGCTGCTCGGCTGCAAGGGAGCGATGCGCTTGGCCCAGCGCAGGCGCTCCAAGACGAGCAGCAGCGCATGGCGATCGCAGTGATGCTCCGCGCGGATGGTCGATCGGTCTGCCGGCAGATTGTGACTGTCTGGCTCCTCGTTCCAGCCCACAAGATGTTGCCCACTGCAGCGTGGGTTGTGCAGCAACACGGACAGGAAGGCCACACGGTCCTGGCCCAGTGCAAGCATCAGCAAATGTTCTCTCTCTCGCTCTCTCTCTCTCTCTCTATGTCTCTCTCCCTCTCTCTACAAACTGCCTGAAACATTCCGTCTGCCTCAATTTGGGGTTTCGATTGCGTTCTATGCCCAGTGCCTCAATGCAGCAAACCATTCCGAGAGTTGTCCGTGAGGCATGTCCCTCCCCCGGAGTCCCTGCCTGGCCACGCGAGGCGAGGGTACCTGCAGGCCCCGGCATTCCCAGCGCTGCAGTCTCATGTGTAAGGGGAAACATGGGACGTGGGGCAGAGGCGAAACTCCGCGTGACGATATCTATTCGCGACATTCAGGGTTCCCAAGAAAAAAGACAGTCGCCCTGCTGCCGCGGCTGTTTGCAAAACAGGTGAGCGACTGCTGGAATCCTATCTGGCCACGGGTCAAAATCCAAATCGTACCCCCAGTGAACATCCCAATCCCAACTAGCCGGTGCACCTGCCCATTGGTTTTGACAACCACAGCCATCCTCCAGAACGAGACCACGGCCCCTCCAGCGCCGTGCAACCAGCCTCGAGCGACCAGCCGCCCGAGGAAGGGCCACTTCTCTGCCGGTTCGAAGAACACCTGGCGCTTTTTTGAGCGCGCTCCTTCTTGGGGTTGCTTCGAGAACGGGGAAACCAAGAGAACAGGAAACCCCCGTCAGTTCGGGTTGCTTCGGCTCAAAACAGGACCAAGGATTGACCACTTCAGGATCCTTCAAGCCGGGGTCGAGCAGGCGTCTCAGCCTCCGCTGCTCGCCGCGTGCCCCAGCTGCCGAGGCTTCGCAGGTCAGGGACCTCGCAGCCAGCTGCGCCGGGCGCGCCGCAGATCCTCCATAGTTAGGAGGACCCGCAACATGTTAAAGCACTT